CAAGAATTATTATAGTGTTCACCCCTATCCACCAGACGATCTATAAATAAACATAGAAATGAACGAATGAAGTTGGGGATTATACCTTATCTACCATGTGCGAACAATGGGTGGGCATTTCAACTCTTGTTATTTACTACCATAGTTAATTTATCGTATATACTAATTTCGACTAACTAACGAAAAATAATTTCTTGTACAGGCCAAATTGCATAATGTTTGCACTCAAATATATAGAATGTTTCGTTCTAGGGCATCCAATAGAATCAGTTTTAACATAGAGGATGTCAGTATACAGACGAATGATTGCGGTCGATCTTTGTCATAACGAATACTTTCTACATCCCCGATAGTGAAAAAGTTGTAGTGGCTAGCTGTACTTTGATTGTGTGACTGTTAATGATCAGTCGGTTGATGATAGCGTCGTTTGCAATATGTATTTTACTTTATGTGGTGGAACGTAACATGTATTTTGGTTTATGTGGTGGTGCGTAATATGTATTTAGGTTTACACTGTGGTTTGCATATTTCGGTTTATATGGTGGTATGTAATATGTTCTCGAACTGTTATTCTGGACAAATGAAATATCAAGCGTCGAGATTCACAACAATGTAATGTCGAGAATGACATATCAGATGTCAAAAAATCGTTGAAATGTAGAGAAATCTCCTCTTTTGATCCAAGTGTCGTTCTAGACAATTATAATGTCAAGTGTCGAGATTAACAGCTATTTAATGTCGATAAGACATTCCAAATGTCGAGAACGGCATCAAATGTCAAAATAAATATGATCCAACCAATTTTAATGAAGAATGATGGCAACTAATTGGAGTATTAACTGCAAAAACTGTAGCAAGCAGGTTTATAATTACTATAGCAATTAAAATTGGTATGCCAAGCACAAGTACATTCTCAACCATATTGATGTGAAAAAAGTTATAAAATAATCACCACGAATGACTTCAACCATATTGGTTGGTGAAATATCTTCTCATGCATTCAACAGACAAGTGTTCCTCTACTGTAAAAGATTGTACTTTACTTGAATATGCATAGACGGGAATTTAACAAAATCATAGCACTAATTAGTTTTTCCATTGAGTATGTCTTCATCAACTTAACATACTCCTTTTATTGATGTTACTATCACTTTTGACCCTCAGGTCGTTCGCGGACAACCCGATCATCATAGACTCGGACTCGGATGGTGAAATCAATGTCTTTGTTCCATATGTTTGTCAACCTTCGAACCGCCATCGTAGGGTTTGCCTTCAACCCATTCTTTTTCTGAATCTAATCGACAAAATTGAACCAATTCAAGTTCATCGTGAGGTCGTCCCAGTAGAGGTCCAACCGGAAGCACATCATGTGTTGTTGGATGAAAATGTTGGAGTAGTTCCCGTCGAAAATGAAGATGTGATCATCATAAGCTCCAACGAGGAGTATGACAGTGATATGTCCTCTTTTCCCGTGGTGGAAGATATGTAGAAAATGCAGTCAACGTAAGTGAAATATTTATGTACATATACTAGTGCTATAAAATCCATATAGGTGATGGATATTTTTTTAGTTGATCACCATTTTGTATAATAGTTGTCTACGACATTCATTGAAGTCATGACTTCCTTTTATTGTGATTACCACTTTGTCTGCTTCAGTGACTTAGGAGAACGAGTCATTCATGGGTTGCTTTTGTATTTATTACCACATTGTGTTTACAATGATTAAGAAAATCCCAGTGATGAATTAGATATATGATTGCTTACTTATATGATGAACGAAATGATATCGTAATGAAATGCTCATAAGAATATATGTGATCACCATTTTCCTTGTTTGTAGTTATACCCCAAACCTCAGCTTTCATGTTTGTATCCATTACGACATTCTAAAATTAAGTGTTATTTGTACTTGGTGAAATGCCCATACGAATTTTCCAGTTCGTGCGCTATAAAATTTTAAACGACAAGGATAATATAAGAGAAAAATCACAGAAATGGGATGAATCCGTATAAAGGATTCAGAATGTATTACGAACTTAATTTTAGAATAAGCAATTGCAAATAAGTGTTATGAAGAGCGAACGAAAAAAGAAACGGGAAGAAATAAAAGTCAAAAATATATTCAACAACATTCAAAATAGGAGATGAACAACTAAGATAGAAAGTAAGTAATAAAAAATATATATTCAAAACATTGACAATCCATGTTATCAGGGCATTTGACGATCGGAATACATAATGTCATTCAAGTATACGTGTCAGTTAAGGTGTCGAATTCTGACCTGTTTGCCTGTTATGTCTAGAACCCCCACATCGACCACATTTTCGTGTCAAAGTCGACCTTTCAGTTTTTGACCTTTGACATTGGGTAAGAGGTCAACCTGGTGCTCTATGTATATTTGGGGTAAAACTTCGACGAAATGAATAGACAGAGGAACAACCCAATCTGACTCTCGGCCAACAGGGTGAAGAACTTCGTTGTACGTAGCTCGCCAACATTTTGTGGTGTAGTAAGGGGAGCACAAATCATACAATGATTTTTCTTTTGAGCAAACAGCTCGAGATGCATGTGAACATGAGATTTGTTGCATCTGAAACTCTCGACATGAACACGTGTTACCTATAAGGTCGACAGTACAAAGTTCATTAGCTACACTTACCTCAAAAATGAGTTCGTCTAAATTTCGTACTGGTAAAGTTGCACTGACGTTGAATGATTTTCTCAATTCATCATCAATTTTTTGTGTTACAGTCGTACATTTCATGGATGTGCTTTTTCTCTCGTAGAACCATCGTTGCATCAATGACGTAATATTTTCGATCAATGACGTTATAGGGAAACTTTTTTATCGTCTTAGAACTGAATTTAGTGACCCCACAATGTTATTCGTCATAACGTTGTACCGATTACCAACAAAATTTGCCCGTGACCAGGTGGATATACCGGCATGTTCCAAGTAAGATGCCATTGACGGTCGAATGGTTCTTATCTGTGTCATGAACTGATCAAATTCCGATAAGTGGTATGCTAGCGCTGCCCACTTGATCAAGAATATGACATTGCTATTACTATACTTAGCAATAAGATTTTTCTCAATATACTAGACGCAGGCACCGTGGTGAGAAAGACAAAAACACTAGCTGCTTTGAATCATCAACAACATCTTTCAACTTCGCAAAGAACCAATACCACGATGCATTTGTTTCCTCATCGACAGTACTCCAAGCCAAAGGATATATTTGTAGGTTAGCATCTTGCGCTGCAGCTACTAGTAGTGTTCCCTTATATTGGTCCTTCAAATGACTTTCATCAACACAAATTATTGGCCTCATGTACTCTCGAAAATCACGTACTCTCAACCCGAACGCTAAGAAGAAGTACAAGAACCTATTATTTGAGTCGAGTTCAATGTGTATAATAGTTCCTAGATTTTTCTCGGTTAACATGTGACGGTATGATGACAATTTTTGGAAACTTTCTTCGGGTGTACCACAACGAAATCGAAGTCCCTTTTCTTTAACCCTCCAGGCTTTGTTGTAGGTAATCCATACACTAAACTCACGTTCTATATCCCCAATAATACTCGCAAGAACGTATGATTGGTTTGCATCGTCTAACCTTCGCATTATGTGATGTCCAATTACTGCACTCGTTGTGTGAATTTGTGCATTTCTTCGAACGTCTAGAGAACATATGTGCTCGGGTATGTACTCTCGAATCTTAAATATTTCTGAAGTTTTTATCTTAGAAGCTCGCACTAGCCAATGACATGTAGTATCGACACAACAAACAGTAAGAGATCTAGGATTCGACTTTTTAACCTTGAAATGAAACTTCTCTTTCAAAACCTTAAGTTGAAGCTTTGTGTGTAACTGTTGCTTACTAAAAAATATCAGATTCTCTACAATGCCCTCTTCATCAATCGATTCAATTGCATTTCGAATAAATAAATTCCCTTCACCTAAACCTTCATTAGTATTATCAATCGTTCATGGCTCTTGTAGTTCGCACATACCGACTTTGTCGCGTCCACACAATGCATCTTCTATTGGTGAGAAAGGCTCAACTCCGACATGCTGTTCGTGCTCTCCAGCATTATGTTCATCTGCAATTACATACAACGCCGCTTCTGTGTAAACAGACATAAACCATTGCAAATGTTCATCGTCGGCTACATCGACAGGGAGTATATTCATGTTCGGAACTGTAAATTTCAATTGAATTCGGAACTTCATTTTGTCAATATGCAGCTTCTCGAATAATTTATGTACAAGCTCTTCATATGTAATATCATGTCGAACAACAATTGATGTTGTTCGGTTTTTTAACCACTTTCACCCGTCGTCTATGTTGACGAATCTACCATCATATGAGACAACAAATCTCTTATCTCCCATATCTGCATGCTATAAACAACAATAATGTCAGCCACTAATGAAAATCAAAAACTACAATGCTACCTGCATGCAATATGTGAAGGCAAGTTGACTAACCTATGTAATAGCAACATTATTGTGACTTCTCATAGAAGCGATTTGCTGTTCTAAAAAATTGTGCCAAATTGATATAAATTGATTAATCTTTTTATGAGGGTAAAGTAGACAATTCGATATAGAAATTGGACATTTTTACAATGATTATCAAAATATGACATTTTTCAACTCACACCTCTAAAAATTGGATATTCTTAAAAATGCCTCTTTCTACATTTGTTATGTCATAAAAGCAATGTTGGGTATCAACACTCACAAATAAATGGGTCCCACTTGTATTAAAAAAACAGTTATGCTATCTGCACAGGGTCTGTTGCACAGACCCTGTATAAGTACGCACACATGGGGTGGACACCACATGTGGGGTCCACCATCCATGTGAGGTGCGCTATATAGATATAGATTCTGTGCAGGAGGTATTTTTCTTAAAATAATAATAATAATAATAAAATAAAATCAAATCAAATCCCCAGCCATGGAACTCGTGTTTGTGAGTCATCCGTGTACGTGTATCATCACTCACGTCATAAACCAATGAAAAATTGTTTTTCGGTAAGAATTCTGTGCACTTGTCGCAAAACTGTTTACTCAAATCAGCATTATTCCTTCTACTTTTCTGGAATTTTCTCCCTTTACTGCAGTTTAGAGGTTAGCTTCTCGTCTTCCCCAATATAAAACCCCTCATCGATAACCCCCTCTTCAGCGCGACTGAACCAAATTCCAATTGTTGATTTCTCGGCAAATCTTGACAAGAATCTTGATTTCTCTCTTATCCGTCTTATTGTGCTTTCGATCAATCAGGTAAAAAACCTCACATGTATCTATTTGATATATCATGCTGCATGAAATTTTATACGGAAAAATAATCCCTTTTTTATTATTTTTTATTTTTTCATTTTTATTTTTGGGTTGTTCATGGTTTAAGATGTCTTTAGGCTGGGATCTTAATTCTTCTTTTACTGAAAATTTACTATCATATCTAAGTTTTTTTAAGTTTCGGAAAGAAAGTTCAATATTTTGGCGCCTCTACATTCCTCCGTGCTGTAGTAACTGTAAAACTGGTCACTGTAACTGAAGCCATCATCTCTGTGGATTTTGAATACGCAGACTTGCAGTCATCGGTAAAGTATTCGAGACACCATCCCATATTATGATCCGATAGCTTTTGGACTCGAATGTGACAAATGGGTAGCCACGAGGCATTGAGTGTTGAACCATTTAAACGGTACTTTATTTAACGGCTCTTTGGTTGAAGCTTTCTTTTGATTTTGATCTTGGCGCTTTTATTTCCAAGTTATCTTGTATATTTAGTTGTTAATTGGAATCTTATTTTTTTTTTCTAAAAAAATATACAAAAAGATTGGTCAAACTTGCGGCAAGGGCATTTTATGATGATATAACTACAAAAGGTGATAAACAGCCTAAGACGGGAAGAAGTGACAATAGAGGAATTGCGGTGGTTGTTCTTGATGCTCTAACCAGGTAATGGTTCTTTTTTCTATGAACTTCTCTGGCAGTACTGTTATATTATCAAGTAAAAATTTGATGTAATATGTATTTCTCATATAATTTAGTTTTCCACAATTTGCTCGACTTGTGAAGGAAATAATGTTAACATTTGAATGCTCTTTTTTTTGTCTATTCTAAGTTGTGTTGCATAGTGAATGTATGTTGTATGTATAACATTAATAATTTAAGCCCCTGCTTGGTTCAGCTAAAAAATGAATTAAAATCTAAGTTAAAGTCAATAATTAATTTTAAAATATTTTATGGGATCCATAACTTTTCAATCACACATTCCGTCAATTTTTATTAATATTTACTAAACTATGATTCTTACCTAAACCAAACAAGGGCTAAGCTTATTTCGAATAAACTTGACAGGGGCACACTATGCGTATGTAGACATGTTATTTATTTGAAGTTTCTCTATATGCTGAGAGATTGATGGATAGTTTGTTTATTTCCCTGGTAGCTATAGTCAAATTACTTCATTCTAGTTATCTGTTTTATTTTTCTTTTTCATGCATGGGTGCTATGTGTGGAAATGTGTTATTTATCTATTATAACCTAGAAAGCTCTAAATTTATGTTCCATTTTAGACGTCAGTGGGTAAGGGAGGAAGATTTGGCTAAGGACTTGAAGCTACACTCAAAACAACTTCGTCGGACTTTGAGATTCTTCGAAGAAGAAAAACTGGTCACTAGGGATCACAGGAAGGAGGTTTGTTTTGAGGGTTCAGTGATATGGCACAAATCCCTTTTCCCATTTTTACATATTCCACTGGATGTTAGTTTTGGCTTTTGTTTATCCTTAACTATCTTCTATTATCTGCTAATCCTATTTATAAACTTTTGATGATTTCCTAAGTTGTTTTGCTTTGCATTTGCATTTGCATTTGCATTTGCATCTGCATCTAGAAATTGTATTTTGTAACAACCATCTGTTTTTTGGGTTTTTAACATGTTATGTTGTTTGGTAGACTTGATTTCTTGTTTTAAACTTAAGGCCTGCATAACAGTTTTCATGGAGGGTCCAAACATGATTTGTATTTCAAAACGACCTAAGAGTTAAAAAACCCTAGAGGTCACCCAATGTCGAGCAAAAATTCATTCTAGTCTGTCGACTTTTTTGGTTCCAATCTCAGTAATAAAGTTTCAATTTTGTTTCAATTGGTCACTGCTGAAAATGTTGCCACAAAATTTGGTGTCCTTTCCTCTTTGGTAAATGGACTTCTTACATAGACTATAGACCTTAATAAGGGCTAGGTGTCCAATTGTACTATAATCACTTGTTTTCACTGTAGAAGTTGCACTTATGTATCACGCCATATTGCATTATAATTGCATTTTTTTTATTTTAAATTAAAACTGCTAGTTTCCATTGCTTTTCAACCAATGTTGCCAAGTAACAAAATACACAAGAAACTGTATCTGCCATGTAGAAGGATGATAAATCTCGTGACAGAATCTTTATTGTGGCCAGATTGAAACCTAAGTGCTGAGTTTGGAGCAAAAAGTTTAGAGTGACTAAAAAGATTTTTGCTCAAAGTTGTGTGACCTCCATTTTTTCCCAACCTTGGCTGTCCAGTCCGAATATGTTACTATTTGAGCCGTGCAAATGTGAAATATCGCACTCCAAAATCGAACTTGGATCTGCTTTTTTGCAAACCTGAACTGTCATCTCTTATTTATTTTATATGTTACTCCATATTTTTGGTATGCTTTCAGCTTTATACATGTGCTAGCTGCACTTGTTACCCTTGAACAATAACAGCAAAAGAGAAAAAAAAAAAAAAAAAGGTTCCACTTGCTAATAAAATGTGCTATTAAATGTATGAAGTATATCTAATTTTTATTTATTCTCATGAACATTTGCTTTTAAGCCCTTGTTTGAGCCCCATTTTGAAGAGAGAATCCATTTTTGAATAGTGAGTTTTTGGAGAATGTGTGGTTGAAAATGAGTTTTGAAAAAATGAATTTTTGAAGAAATGGGGCTCAAACAAGGGCTAAATATTTTCTTAGGTATAAATAGAAGTGAATTCACATTGTCTTCAAACTTATATCTAAGAACAACCCAAAACTGATTCTTGAAAGGCCAGTTGTCTCTAGTTGGTAGTTCCTTCTGTTAAAAAATTGCTAAGTTTTCACTTCGTTTTCTTGAAGCTCGTCAATTTTATTTACAAATTTCATGATTTAGTTACCATCATATTTAGTTTACACACACACACACATATTGCATTGAGATGTCTTCCTCTGTAGTTAGCTTTGCCATTTGTTGTTTGTTATGTTTTTCTAATATTGCCTCATTGGTACTGTCGCAGACCGCAAAAGGTGCAAAAATATACAGTGCTGCTGTAGCTGCCACGGGGGATGGTCAACCAGGTGGAAGAGAAGGAGATGAAAAACTTAAGATGCATACTCATTCATATTGTTGTCTAGATTATGCACAGGTTTGTACCCCCACCCCGGGTTGTTAAAAGAAACTTTATTTTAGATCCACAATGTCTACTGTATGCACTACTTTAATACAAAAGAAAAATACCACAGGTTCAAATGAATGAGGTTGAGCAAACCAAACTTCTATCCAACTTCAAGTTCCAGTTGATGCCTTGAACCCATGAATGATAGGTCACTGTTGAGAAGATGAAACACTGCCATTGGATAATGTTTTAATAATTGAAATCAGTGAATTCAGCACTTTAGAAATTGATGAGTTGCTGAAATTTACTTTATGGAGAAGCTAAGCTAGGACATGAGAGTTTCTACGGTACACAGTTATTCCTGAATCTTGACAAATTCTCACGACTCAGCTATTAGGAGCCTTTGTCGAAGCACCAGTGTAGCTCCTCAAGTCAGCTTTATGATTTTATTTTGAATTATAAGAGAAAAAATTCAAAACACCAGAGTGGGAGATAGGAGAGTAGAAAGAAAGGTGAAAGACAAGACCAGATAAATGAATGGCCCAGGAGATGGCAGACTGAACAGAATTGTAGCCAGTTGGCTATTAGATAATGCCATAATGGTTGCTAAGATTCAAAATACTCTTTTGGGGGTAATATTTGATCAATGTGCATTTTCCGTCACTTGTGATTTCGCTTCAACTTGGATAGCTACTTGGTGCAACTTCAGGGTGGTATAAATAAGGAAAATCTAATAATGTTAAAGCATCCATATCAAATCATTTTGCATTGTGTAGTAGAGTAGTTGCCTCGGTTCATATACTAGTTTGGAAGCTTAATTCATTTTTGAGCTCGATGATTTGAAATCCCTAATTTATGTTGCATTGGAAAATTCAGTTGAGTACATTTTCTGGTGAAGTTTTTCCTATGTTAGTTCGCTTAGCATGGCTTATTGTTTACATTTCCTGAAATTGGTTGAGTATCATCTTAATGTCCTCTGGTTTTGAACACTTTACATAGCGAGTTTCTTATTTTGTTATCGTTATCTACGACTCTTTAACACTTTACATACTGTTGATATTTACTTGAAAGTTGTTAGATGAATGTATATTCTCCATCGCTCCATGAATGAAATATGAAATTAAAGAAACTGTTTACAGATATATGATGTGGTAAGGTACAGACTGCACCGCATGAAGAAAATGCTAAAGGATGAACTCGAAAGCAAGAACACTGTTCAGGAGTACATATGTCCCAATTGTAGTAAAAGGTATCTGTTTTTGTTATTGGCACGTCTTCTCTTTGAGTCCCCTTTTTTTCTTTTTCTTTTTTTATCATATCAGAATTTATTGGGAACGAAAGTCCAGATACACTGCCCTGGATGCGCTTCGGTTGATTTCCCCACACGACGAATACTTTCACTGTGAGAGTTGTGATGGCATACTTGTGGCTGAAGCTGACAAACTAGCTGCCCAAGAACTGGGAGATGGAGACGACAGTGCTAGGAAACGGCGCCAGGAAAAGTTGAAAGATATGCTACAAAATATGGAGGTTTGTCCTCTTTCTAGTTCATATTAGTTCCCGGATATATTATACGTGTGAACCATCTTTACTGATACTGAAAGGGAGATTTGCACTACCTTATTGTTTATTGTTTAGATCAAAATTATGAGTGTGTTTAGTTTTCTCAAAACTTTTCCCCTTTTCTTCAATGTTGTGGGCTATGATGTTTATTTAAAAAACACTAGTATAAGAAAGAGCATTAAGTGGCAATCTGAGAAGCGAGTGTGCAGCAAGTTTCTAGATCTTCTAGGTGTGTATTTTGGGTAGAAATATACACATGCAAGTACACTGTGTCCCATCATGATGCAGGCGCATAACACAAACATTGGGGAATAAGCCTTGTAGTTTTCCTGAAAGGACTCATAAGCTAATCTTTTCAATGATTGAAAGTCATGCAAATCTCGTCGCACCTTGGGCCTTCTTTTATGAAATGCCCAAAAAATGAGGATGGAAAAAGTTTGTTCGAGAGACAAATGCAAACTAGAAGAGCATTTGATTGAAATGGCCTAGTTTTTAGATGAAAGAACTCAAAGATAACTGTGAAGAATTTGGAATTGAACAAGATGAGAAAAATGGGTGTAACACGATTATATATCTATATCATTAAGAGTCCACACAGAAATTTTGGAAAAGGGGCAATCTCTTTTTGGATACATTAGAAATTTCTACTAACCACAAACTAAGGGAATGACAACCTAGGCGGCGGAGACATCTTGTGTGGACCCAAAGAAGTTCTGATCCACAAGAATAATGCAATGTAAATTTGTTACGGAATGTTTATAAGAGGGAGATGAAGACCAAAATTAACATGACTAGCGGTATACAATTTGCATTGTCTATGTACCTTGTGAAGATTACTTATGCTAACTAGTATGTTCGGACTTGAGTACGAGTACGTATCTAAGTGTTGAATTTTTTATTTTAGAAAATTTAGGATACGGGAATATGATTAAAAAAAGTCCAAATTTGAGACACTGACACGTAGATATGTCTTTCGAACTTCAATTTTTTCCCTAGAAATTCACGTGTAAAACATTAAATAATAATTAAGTGAATTTTAACTAGAAAAAGGTTGAATGAGGAAAATAAAAATTTAATCGAAGTACGATGACCTCTAATGAAAATTTAAAAGTTTCGCCTCTTCTTCTTTTACTTTAAAGACTCACATGTCTTCTATAATCAAACCAAGCTTCTTAATTATTTAAAAGACCTCGAATAGGGTTTCTCTTCATTTAGTGTCGTCCTCTTCCCTCCCTAGCACCTACGGTGCTAAATCAAGCTTTCCTCTTCCGCTTATTCTTTCCCTTTTCTACCTCCCAGCGTCTCGTCTTCCGCACAGCTGCCTCCTTGCCCACCTCCCTGAAGCTTTGCATCAACCTGCTCCGTGTCTGGTTGAAAATTACTGTGTCCGCCCCATTTTTCCTATCAATACCTGTATTATGTCATCTCAACACGGGTATTACGGCTGAAAACAAGAGTCCGAGCATCACAGATGCCAACATTGTTGAATAATGTATCAGAGAAGGTAAATAATTGCAACATGACCCTATAAGCAATACTTTAGTTAATAATATTCTTTTCTAACACTGCCAGAGTGCCCATTCTCTGGCATTTTGAGCAGAATTATATTCATATATGTTTATGTAGTACGGTATCTAGCAAAATATTATTCTGCATTTTGCAAAATATTAAAATTCACCTTTGGTACAATAGATTCTGAGAGACTGTTCTTTTATTTGCTAACCCATTTGAGTGTGAGCAAGTATTTAGTATTTTGAAATTTCTTAAAAACTCTTGTTGGATTTTATGCGCAATAATAAAGAAATGAAATCGAGAAATCAACTTAAATATTTACGTGGTTCGACGGTATGCCTATGTCCATGAGAACAAAGCAAAGATAATTTTATTCAGTATGAAAAATAGGGTTACAACATTATTATTTATGCTAACCCTAGCTCAAGTCCATACAAGACTTTAAGGCTTGTAAAAGAAAATAGAAAGCAAGAACACTGTTCAATAAACCTATGCTCCACTCTATATATGCCACATGCACAACACCTCTCGTGGTTGCACAATACATATTTGTATTTCATTTATAGCTTTATACTCGTAGTGTTCTCATAGTTTGTGCTCAGTAAAGCTCAGTTCATTGTGAGGTCATGTTTCCGAATTTTCAGTGCCTTTATTCAAATATCGGTTTCATTCAAGTTTGTATTAGTATATACTCCATACATGCTTTCGAATTAGTTTCTCAAATGGAAAGCCAAATGAAGACCAATTTGGAGTAAATTTTATGCATCCAGCTTGGACATGTCAAAGAAGTCTAACTAGTGCCCTGTTGTGAAGATGGAATGTAGGTCAGCACTTGAATGTCCTTTTGATGATAGTGTGAGGATAGGTCAGCCTGTGAGAGGATGAATAAATGGGAACCATGGAATGCCTAGGCTATTTTATAATGGGAGGAATTCTCAGATTTCATGCTCTAGTTCTTCAATAGCATGTGATAATGGCCTAGTGTAGCCAAATGGATTCTGGAGATGCCTTCTTCCTTACTAGGGCTACTCTGAACTAGTCAAAATGCTGTTGTCTTAACTATCTGAGACACAACCGGCTTCATGCGATAATTCGTTCACTAAGGTTGTACAATTTTTCTATTGATTTTTGAATACCATTTCAATCTCTTTCTTTATTTTTTTCAAATGCGTCTTGTGGATTTTGTGCTTTCCATGCCTTTCCTTTGAATCAAGTTTTTTAATGGAGTACAGGAACAATTGAAACCATTGATAGATCAACTTGGAAGAGTGAAGGACTTGACTGTTCCTGAATTTGGAAGCCTTCAAGCTTGGGAACTTCAGAATGCTGCTGGTCGAGCAGCAAATGGAGATCATGGGAATGATCCTTCTAAATCTTCGCAAGGTCTTGGATTTGGTGGAACGCCTATGCCCTATGTTGGAGAGACAAAGGTGACTAGCTCCTCAGCCTTTTCCCCTTTTACTTACAAAAATACCAATTTCTTATATTATACTTGTTTTTATTTTCCCTTACTCGGGCATAGCAGGGGAGAGTTGGAAATGGAGCATGAGTTACATATGTTGATGTCCATGTCATTCCCACTAATCGTAGCCTATGTTTTGCTTCATTTTCTTTTGCTAAACTTTTACTTTCAAGAAATGAGTGGTAAATAAGTGTAGGACTTGTGGTCCTTCGAAATGTGTGGTTAAATTCCATATTTGATTTGGAAAAATAAAATGAAACCCAAACGAAAGAATACTATCTAATTAAAGAAAGTGTGATAGAAATACATGACATAACTTCCGTATAGCCGAGAGGCATGGAGATATAACCTATATTTCCCAAACTGCGATAGGTTTATAAATGAAAATAACTCTGAGATAATAAAAAGCTCTGGAATGTAAGTTAGCTTAAGCATGACAAAGACATTTTAAGGCATTATAGGTTTACAGTCTAAATATACAACTCAAAACATGATTCTCAAACTATAACAGTTAGCTTCCAATTATAGCCTTGACAGGTATATTTTCATGTATCCAGTGCTTCAAACCTTAGGAGTTCTTGGTCATCGACAATGGGACTATGGAATTTCTTCTGTGCTTGTAATGCGAAATGCAAAGCTAAAGGTTCTGTATTTGAAGACAATGCACTTGGTCTAAAATGAATATGAACTTGACTATCATAGAATGCATCTCATGGCATCATAAAAATTCTTGTCCTTTTATGGAAGAGAATATAAGCATCAATATGGTTAAAATTTGTCTGGAAATCATTTTCTCGTTCCTCTTCACCTATTGCTATGCTTATGGAATGCCACTATTATAATGGCCAAACATCATTACATTAGATGTTGTACCCAAGATGCCTTAGGTGATCTTGCTTCCTCATCTGTGGAAATCATATCTCATACAGCTCATATTTTGTTGTTCACTAAGGACAAGGGAGCAAATCATGCTTGTATAATGCCATGAATTAGCAATGCACAAGTGCAATTACATATGAATGTAATTTAATAAATAATATAGTTGGTGTTCTATTGAAAGTATAGGACACCAGATATTTGCCTAATAATCGTATTGGCTATTGTCAATTTTTGGGTGAGTAATGGGGTTTGCACCTCTTTAATGTATAATTTTGATGTTCTTGAAAAGTAGATTTTTCACCGGTCCATCATCAAAATGTACTTACCTGCATGAATATTTCAAAGCATGCTTGCTATTTTAATTATGATTTTCTGCAAAAGTCTAAGAGAAATACGTTCCTGATTTGTTTGGATTCTGTAAGTCCGATTGTGTCATGTCTGAGGTTGAGGAGAGTGTTATTGGTGCTATTATTGGGTTGTGACGTTGATCCGCTGACGTTGAAAGCAATTACTTGAAGCATGAAAATTGTGTTTCTTCATATTAAAAATAAAAATAATTAGCTGAAAGGCATAATACTTGTGCCTGAGGTTTGGATGGAATTATCGTCACCATCGTATATGTTTCACCTTTTCTAAACAAAGGATGGTAAAAATAGCCATGTCGATCTCATGATCCTAAGGGTTGGCTTTGTTTTCCTTTGAAATAAGAATGACATGGATTTGTAGTACATTTTCTGATTATTCTTTATGTTGGCAGTTTCATATTATAGGACTACTAATTATTGAAACATTTTCTCTTATATGTGATTGTAAGAAACTATTATTGACATGAAAGAAATTTCTGCCATCTGTGGATATGAACACCCGAATCTTGTTTTGGCAGGTTGAAGTTGCACTCTCAGGCATTGATGGAAAAGGAGAAAACATTAAATCGGAGAATGGAAATGCACCTTCGAAAGTTTTGCCTCCTTGGATGATAAGGCAAGGAATGGAACTTTCAGATGAGCAGCGTGGAGAGACCAAGCAAGAGGCAAAGATGGCTGGTAGTTCAATAGCTTTAGAATCATCCGATGACAAAAATACTACAGATGAAAAAGATGATGTGAAGAATATACAGGTTTGTTTGGATTTACAAATTTTTTTATTTTATTTTCCTATCAGTTTTTAGTGGATATATAAAGGTTCCATGTGTGCCGCAGTCAATTCCTGCTCTTCTTTGTATTTTGTAACCTTGTATTCTCTATTTCGGTAAATAAAAAATTATGTAAAGTTTTTATTATGATTATAAAGTTTTCGAAATCTTATTTTAGATTTTATTTATGTTATAGGATGAATATGTTAAAGCTTATTATGCTGCTTTACTTGAACGGCAACGTGAACAAGAAGCACATGACGACAGCCAACAGCAAATGTCTAATGCGAGCACCTCTAATGGAGTTGCCATGCCTACTGAGCGCCAAGTTGGCATGAAGTCGAAGCTTGCTGATGAGTATGAGGGAGATGATGTTGAATGGGATGAGGAACCTCCTGCAGGTACTGTCAACAGGCATTTTATTTTGAAACAGTACGTTAAGAATATTCGATTTTGCCTCATAGGTTCCTATTTTGACTTATTTTACCCTTCTTCTGGACTTTGGAGTTGTTAGTAACGTCAATGCTTTGACACAAGTACGACTAACGCTACATACAAGCCTTTAAAATTTAGAATTTTAAACATCTCTGTAACTGTCTAGCTGGTGTAGATATATCTTGTGTCAAAACGCTTCTTGATGGATGTCATCATGTTGATTGTGGAAATTAAATAAAACAGTCCTACGTGTGCATGAAGTTTGACTGGCTGGAAGTCTTAATACTCATTTCAGTGAAAAAGAAATTATAAAATTCCGTTATAATAATGTGTGCTAAGAAAGATAACGTGTTATTTGGCCATCCACTTGCTTTTTATTGTTTCTTCTTCGTGCTTTGTCGTCTCTTGAAAGATAACATAACAGATGGTCTTGTAGATCCTCTATTTTACTTATTGTGGGGCGTGGGGGATAGGGGGTGGAGATACTTGGCTTCCAGTGAAATTTCTTCCCCCTAGACTTGTATAGGATACTACTACAGATATTGAGGCATTATTTTAATTTTGGTTCGACTGTTTAACAGTGCTTACGTATACAACTTCTATTTCAGGTAACACAGCCAAGAATTTCAAAGTTCATGACTTAAATGTTGAAGCAGAAGCTTCAGATGAGGAAGAGGATGACATTGACTGGGAGGAAGGTTGAAGGAACCATTCAACTGTAAAAGTTAATCAACGTTAGGTTCACTGCCTCTCTATTTATGATAGTCACTTGATGCACTTAATCAATAGAATATTGACTCAAAAAGCTTTCTATTTTGCTCTTGCTAATTTAAGGTAAGAATGATCAATAACTAGATCAGAGAAGTACCAAAGAAATAGAAGCGATCAAATCTCCAAGCCCATATTACGAGCTTCATAACCATTTTTCTCGAAAAAACATCTTAAAGGAGTCAATGTGACATTGTCAGGGCTCATTGCTCAGATCTTCAATTTGTGGGTGGACAATGTTTCTGTCAAACTAGCAAGTTTTATAAAATTGGTCGATGATAATTCGTCACCCGAAAGCATAGCACACTTTCTAGGACAAAAATGCTAAAAAGTTCATGACTACAACATTTCATCTTTGATTTAGCCTTGGGAAGAAAATTTTGGAATCGAGCCGATATATTTCGAATAATTTGCATCTTTGGACAAAATATCTTAATTAATGATATGGCGGGTTCATCTGGGAAGGTATTTCTTTTGCCATTTTGTGAAGGAGTTCAACCACTTTTGATGCCTTGTTATAATTGCAAAATCCTTGCATAAGTGTGCTGATCAAATTGGGTGCACAACCTTCATTTTTCATCTTCAAAAACAAATTATTTGCCTTCTGCATATGGCCATGTTCCGAAAAGCCATGATTCGTGATGTTATACGTAACGTCGGATGCCAAGACCTTATGAGAAAACTTCCCAAATAGCTCACTAGTTAAATCGAGTTCTCCTGCTTTACACAATCCATGGAGAACACAATTGTAGGTGTCAATGTCAAGATTAAGACCAGATCTTTCCAGTGTGTAAATAAGCCCCGTTGCATCCGCAAGGCGATAATTTCTTAAAAGTCCACCCAATAATACACTATAAGTAACAGAATTCGGAGTGAGTGAATGAATTTTCATCTTCACAAAAAGTTCCCGTGAATCATCAACTTTACCTACTTGAAATAGAACAATCAACAAAGTGTTGAACGTAATAACATCTGGCTTGTATTTTGTGTACCATTTCTTTGAAAAGCCTCATGGCCCCTTCCAATTTCTTACAATTGCGATACTCGTCAATTAACACTGTGTAGCTTACAATGTCTTGCTTCTAGCCTTTGGCCTCCATTAAATCAAATAACTTCCTTGCATCATCAATCCTATTTTTCTGAGCGGATCATTCTACTCGTACAGCAAGAGAGTGCCCCACGAATAAAATATTTATGGTGGATGAGGAGGCTGTCATGTTTGGTGTACACACCCCTCTAAATCAGCAAGTTTCACAGCCCATTAGCTTCTTTAGTCTTCCCCTCCTTACAAAGAGCATCTATTAAGATATTAAACAATATTACATGAGGACAAATACCGTGATCTACCATGTCAATGAAGAACCACTTTGTCTCATCCCACCCAACACCCTCACACAAATCATGATTTAAAGCACTATATGTAATCCAATCTGGCATAATTCCCCTGCCCTTAATCTCCAGGAATAATTGTTTACCCTGCGCCAACAATCCCTCTTTGCAGAGGCCATGAATGAGTGTACTGTAAATAATTAAATTAGGTTTAAATCTTAAACCAAATATTCCATTACTGTCCCCCATTTCTTTTAGCAACCGAAGTGCAATCTCTGTATTTCCAGTCTTACATAACCCGTTAGTCAAAATACCCCAAGATGTAACATTTGGTTGAAACTCCATTTGAATAATTTTATTGAATGACACAACTGCATTACCAGTCTTATCTTCCATACACAGTCCTTTAATCAGTGTATTAAATATCAGGACTATATCCCGTCTTTATAATCCCACCCATAACGGCAAAACCAAGAGCAACCTTTTTCAAGCTACAGTAACAATCGAGCAAGATGTTCAGCGTACAAGTATCAAGCAATAAGTCAACTCTAACTATCCACTGGTACATAAAAATGACATCTTGATAATTCTTGGTTTTGGCAACACAGCCTAGCAATTTGTTAAATGACGAGACGGGTGGCCAGGGTTTCATTATGAGCATAATATAAAAGGAGGTTAATGCATCATTGGTGTGGATTTGTGAGGATAATTTACTGTCTGTTTTGAATTTTTGATGAGGGGTTGGAGTTTCAAATTGATTTGGGGATTTCGATTTTAGTTGGTGTGTAAAAATTGATGAACGATGACCTCTTTCGGGTGTTCTGGAAGCCATTTCCGAGCAGCACACAAATTTTGATGCACGCACAAATCCAGAAGGCGATACCTGAAAGGTGCTGTGCAATGTCCCCATCAGGGCTGGGCATGATCCGATTCGATTTGATTCGATTCTAATTTTTTTGAATATTTAGTAGTTGAAATCGTTGGGTTTAAATTTAATTATGGAATCGTTCGGAATCGGTTATATTCGGTTTTTGGGTTCCGTTCTATAATTAATTTATTTAATATTTACAAAACCATATTAATTCAACTAGTGATATGTTCAACCTTAACCCTCATAAATAACGTAGTCAATCTTATGTATCTTTTTTTGCTGAATTCTTCATAGATTTAATTGTTAAAATCACAGGGAAGATGAGAGATAGTGAGCTCATAATAATTAAGAGAGACGTTGTTGAACTTCAATTCGATTTCTTCAAAACGGCAGAAATAATAATACGGTAAAATAATAGATTTGGGTAAAGTTTAGGTCAATTTGATTAAGTTAGGTTTATACTGAAAATTAGAAATAAGAAAATCATACTTTTGGGTTTGAGCTAAATTAGCTAGTTAGCAAATTTGTTTTAAAAAAATAAAATGGCTTATTTAAAATAAATTAATTAAAAAATTAGGGAGATTTTCATTCAATTCTTCAGTTCTTTATCTAGAAAACGAGAATTGAACCGAACCTATCGATTCTTGATTTAGATATCCGTTAGAGTATTTAACTTAAAAAGAACTATTCAATTCGGATGCGGTTCGATCAATTATGTTTGATTCGATTCAGATCTTTAATGAGTAGCACATAAATAAAATATATAAGATGATTAATTACCATAACAAATAATGTTACACTTACCGTAACATTTCAGCCACAAATTAGTACAACATATTTGGCTTGGAGCGTTTAGTTCCAAAATATGAAAAAGAAAAGAGAAGAAAACAAAAAAAAGAACTCATTATTTCCAATAACAAATAAGGTAAATGTCTGACATTCCATCTCATTTTTTACATCCAAATGTGTCAATAAGGTACAACAACATAATCTAAATAAAACACTTGAAATAACATTGCAACTAGTCATCTTTTACCCTTTGCTAGCTTGAAACATCAGTATCTTTTCTTTCCACACAACCTATTAACGATGCTTCAAATATTGACCACGTGTCGAGTTTATTTCTATACTATGACTGTACAGAAGATTAAATTTCACTTGATCATCGTGTATTTTTATCTAAATCCCCTAATAAAGTTATGTATATCTTTTCATAATTTTAATAGTTCTTGATTCATCAATAGGTGAGATCAATTTGATTGATTAAATATCTCGATAAGCTTGAAATTCGAGAAGAAGCGAGTAGAAAGCAAGGACTAGTGTCAGGAACCATTGTTTTGAAAAATGGATAGAGTGACTATGTGGTAAAATTACAAATTGTAAGTTTACGGGACGCATTTAAGTAATAAGGTGGATGATGAGTCCGAGTAATTGATCCCTCAAGGATTTATTTTTTAATTATACTGTAGTTGATTTGATTTTAATGATTGAACATACACAATTTGATTTTAAGTAAGAAATGGAAAAAATGATTATAAAGTTCAATTAAAATAACAATGATGAAAGTGATAGATTTGGATTGTCGGAATTCATGATTTCACTTAACCGTCGTTTCATTAAATTTTCAATAAGTCAAAATGCAAATTACAATGTTATACTCGATTTTTCTATTTTTAAATAATTATATCTCTCGAACGAAATTAGCCATAATTGATCGGTTTAACCTACTATATTTTTATGTCGATTAAAACCAAACAACTGCATTAAATCTTTTTTAAAATAGTTCAATGAATCACCTAGACTTAGAAATATATCTCTCAATAGTTAAACAAGTCACTCAACACAATTATCTATTGGCCTTATCAATGATAGGAATTAATACACAAGAACAATAGCAATTTTAACATTAAAGAACTAACATTGAAATTAATAAAATTTGATCAAGCTATATGATAAATCCCCTCATCAAAAACTCAGTTCATGTCAAAGCAAATGCACAAAACTCATTACAAAATAAAGAAAATAAAAATGCCAAATTTACTCTAAAATTATTTATGCATACTTATTTTGCCCCTCTGCATTTCAATTTGTGAAGGTTGCCATAATTAACCATTTTTTTACCATTAAGTAAACATCACGGGTCCAATTAGACCAATAAGCAGCATGGATCCCCTTGCCACAGTAGCATATGTTTTCATATGCAAAATATTTTATTGTGTAAATGTATGGTTGAAAATGAGTATATAGAAAAATAAGATTAAAAATAATGGTTATCAAACAGTGGCTAAATATAAAGCTAAATAGTAAAGAGACATCAGTCTACGAGTTTCTATTTATGCCTTTATATTGAACTGATGCATGTAGTTTTATCTATTCACCTATGTATGTCTAGAAAGTGGCTAGCATGACCGAATCAAGTACATCTAATCAGTCTTGTCATATACTTGATAGTGCATTATGGCTGTACTAGAAATAAAAAATGTGCATAATTTATAGTAAACTCGTGCTATTGATTCATATTATATTCAATTTGATTTTGTAGCATGTTTCGGCAATTTTGAATATGGTATAAATATGACTCGAACTGAGAAAGTAAAATTGCCTAATGAGATGTAGGTTTTAATTCTCTCGAATGTGATATTTGAAGTCAATATGGCGGATATCCTGAGAGAGTAGTTGATAGGCACAATCATTATGCATCAAGGTTTGGTGACATAGATGTTTTCATCTCACATTCCATTCCGTTCATTAGGAATAAATGTCTTAGTATCTTTTAATAAAATGTGACAACGTATGACACAGGAATAAAAGTTGTAATTGCAATTTTTAAACAGTTCTTTGAATACCTAGTAATACTCAGTGGTCGACAATGTTGATATCTATGTAACCCATAAAGGGAAATTGATTTAGAGAACTCTCTCAAAAGAGAAGAGGTTATCATCATATAATTTGAAAAATAAAAAAGTTACCTCCAACTTTATGGTTAGAAGGAAAGTGTTGCCCTTCTCCAAAAAAGTACTGATTTTGGAAAATAATGGTTAAGAATTAGATCTATTAGGTCATTAACCTATTGATTTCATTGATCAAAGTAAATTTATGTAGTGTAAAGTTACTATAAAATGATAACAATAGACAAAAAGCATTGCAAGGATTATTAGGTATTAACATCGAAGGGAGAAACGCAAGCCAATTCTATATCACCAACAGCTGAACCTCGACACAATATTTGAAATATCAAGATCTTGGGTTCAATGAGAAAGTACATTATAAAAGTGATTGCAAGCACTATGTATTTGTCCCCAAGGTGAAGTGTTTGGTTCACGTAATACAAAAATACAGGTTAAGCTACTATACTTTTAATCGACTTATATAGATATATTTATGGAATACTTTAATTATGCGAGTGTTCTTGATGGGTTGACCAATGTTCAAATTAGGGATGGTTCCGTCTCTAGGATTACTTGGTTTATTAACCCGTTGGTATTAAATACATAAGGATTCGAAATCAGTGCACGAGTTATTTTCATCTAACCACACGGTCGTAAATTCAAAACTTGTCTACCATGCCACATGGTTAATATTTGTGACATTTTCACTAGGTGGAGGTTGAAGTCCAAAAGACACCTTCATTGATGCACGAGTTTTGTGAAGCTATTATGAGGCATTTTTTCATGACGCCATTTTTTGAAATGGTAGAGGGTGTTATAGAATTTTTTAAAAATGTCGTTTATACATTTTATTATGTATCAAGGAGTATCTTGAGTCATGGTTCATCTTTAGAATGGATATATATAAGGAGCGGATGGAAGAGAGCGGAGATTGCAAGTGACCGGAGGGCACAATTAGCAGCATGCAACCGCAACATGTTTGGCGTTGGCTTGCTACTACCTGATCAAGACCTATGGCTCCTTCAGCTATGAAAAGGTAACTTTGCACTTGCTCGGGTCCCTTTTCTAGGTTCCTTTTCATCCCAATTCAGTTTATTTAATTAAAACACACTGGGTTGTGATTCAAATGAGGATATTTAACCTTTTGGAAGGATTGTAACAACTATCTATATATAAATTGATGGTTCATTTGGAAAAGGAGTGATACAATAGATTTTATTTTTTCTACTCCATTTGTCTTCTTGTATCATTAAAAGTCCTGTCATGTAATTTATTTTCTTAAACCTTGTCCGTATTTTGTTAATTCGGGTTTATGAGCCTCTCAAATGATGACTTCTCTTATTGATGTTTGGAGTTGTTTTCATCAATGCACGATGCAAAGAACAAAATTAGATTTCGTTGTATTTTGAAGGCATTATGCTTTCCCGTGTGCACCACCAGTAGTTTGGGGGCAAATATTATATTATGGAGAGCATCAGCGTTACTTGAAGTTTACTTCCGGTTTTACTAGCCATTTGATCCTCATTTTTTAAAAAAATACATTTTCCTCTATCTTCTTTTCAACCACACATTTTTCAATAAAATAATATTACATGCAAATTAAAAACTTTTCCTTATTTTTAACCACACATTTTCTATCAATTTATTATTCCAAAAGGCATTTGATAAGTGTATTTTATACACTTATTTCATTCATTAAAACTAGAGCAATTTTTGTTATTTAGGATGAATTGATGCTTAACTTCATACATGTTTCATTTGTTAGGTGTAACTCGAGGCAAAACAATGAAATTGGACAGAAGAGCGGGAATTTTGCTAACTTGGGCCTAATTAAAAGTTCGGGGACTAAATCGCAAAGTATCAAAAGTTGATTTGGACATGATGTTAATGATTGAAGAAGAGCGAGAGGCAATTAAATGGTATTAGAAGATGAATGATCGAGACGATGTCAAATATGGACCAAAAGGAACGAAGAATAAAGTATAGGGACCAAAGTGCAACACATGGAAAAAGTTCATAACGGCGCGCGAGCGGGGGCCAAAACTCTCACGCGTGCAAGGTGTTGAATTTCATAAGCAGAACGTAGAGTCAATAGGAGTTGCACGTACAAGAAAATATACCGCGCGAGAGTGCGGGAATTTTCTGAAAAAAATCGGGCAGATTATTTTTTTGACACAAACTCTTATGGAAATAAAATCTATAATACTACTTAACCTAGAAAGACGAAGAGAACGGTGCTTGTTTCTTCTAGAGGGCAAAAAGAGGCTTGCAAGAAGAAAGTCTCAAGATGCAAAGATCAACAAAAGCAATTGCAAGAAGATTGACGACGATTGGGGGAAGAATTCTCGCAACAAAACTAGTTTTTCTTATTCCTTGCTTCTTCTTGATGTTCTTTATTGTTTATTTTATCATGCCAATCAATTCTATTATGAACTAGACTTTAATCCTAGGGATTTGATGTAGCCTACTTAGACATGTTTTAATTTCGATATAATTATTTCAATTAATCTTTTCGATTATTTATTTATGTTGTTCTTGCGCAATGCTTTCAATTAACTGGCCACTAATTGACTGATTTGATGCTTTAAATTTCAACGCTCAAGAGAGGTAAATTTAGGCATGATCTAAGAATAACATAACGTAGATTTCGTAGATTTCGAGAGAAAGTGCGAATCTTTGAGGCTAATTCCACTTAAAGAACTATGTTCTTTGATAATTTCTATATGTTAGTTCGGAATAGAGATATTGGAATTAAAATATAGAAATAGATTCTATTTGGTGCTCGAGAGAGGGAAATGGAATCAATTTAGAATTCTTGCCTATAAATTTTGGAAAGATTGATAGAAATTGTTATAACGGTTGTAACATTGTCGATAGTATGGTGAAATCACTCCCTGGGCATTCATAATTTGATAAGAAACTTTACAAATTGCTCTTGTTTACTTTGCATCATTCATCCCATTCATTTTAATTTAACAATAAAATATCTTTTCAAAAATTGATTGTCTAAATAAAGTAAAAGTTAAAATAATAATAGTACTCGGTAGAATTGAAATATCAATCCCCGTGTGTTCGACACTTTTATTCTAATACTATATTACAAATCTTGGCACCGTACACTTGCGGTATAAAATCACGTTGCATAAATCGCGTGGCAAGTTTTTGGAGCCATTGCCGGAGATTGATTCTTTTGACTTCGATTGATATTATTACCAATTGGCTCTCATTTTAATTTGGATTTCTATCTTAACTTTAATTTTCATTATTTATTTATTTATTTCATTTGTCTTGTGTTTACTTCTAATAGCTTCTTTGTTCTTATTTTCAACTGTTTATGCGAAGGGCGAGAAATCTTGACTTACTACCTGTTGATCTTGAACGAGAACGTACATTCCACCTTTTAAGGGATATTTAAAGACACAATCGTGAAGCAATGGCAGAACAAGATCTACTAATAGCAAATCAGAACAATCAGAATGGTCAACTACAGGCTATAAGGGACTACATCAGACTAGTTGTCAACGAAAATTACTCCGATATTGCACGCCCAGCTATTGCTTCTAACAAATTTGAACTAAAGCCAGGACTTGTACACATGGTGCAGCAGAATCAGTTTGGGGGAGCTCCAACAAAAGACCCAAATGCTCATCTGGGATCCTTTCTGGAGATCTGTGATACAGTGAAAATGAATCGCGTTACTGAAAATGCAATCCAACTCCGTCTATTTTCCTTTTGCCTAAGAGACAAAGCCAAAGCATGTTTCCAATCATTACCGTATGGATCCATCACAACTTTTGAGGGGTTAGCACAGAAGTTTTTTACAAAATTCTTTCCACCTTCGAAGGCAGCGCAATTGCGGGGTGAAATTGGGCAATTTTGACAGTCAGACTTCGAACCATTCTATGAGGCATTTGAGAGATATAAAGATCTATTCAGAAGATGTCCTCAGCATGGTTACCCAGATTGGTTGCAGATACAAACCTTCTACAATGGTTTGAATGGTCAGACACAGATAGTGGTAGATTTTACAGCAGGGGGTGCATTATTATCCAAGACTCCAGATGAGGTTTATGCATTATTGGACGAGATAGCTACTAATAGCTATCAATGGCCGAGTGAGCGTTTAAGTGTAGAGAAAGTTGCTGGTCTTTACGAGGTGGATCCCATTACCGCCCTCACAGCTCAAATGTCATCTCTTACTAATCATATAGCTACATTGACTTCACGTGGATCACAAAAGAAGTCAAAATCTGTTCTGGCTACATCCACTACATACCAAAAAGCTGAAAAGGAGAATGAACAACTTCAGTATGTGAATGATCGGAACTTCAATCAAAAGGGAAAAATAATCAGGCGTTTGAACGAAAGCTATAACTAGAAGATATTCTAGGAACCTTCATTTTGGAGACCAGATCGAGGTTCAACAAAGATGAGGTAAGACTTGACAACATTGAGACTCATATAAGCAACTTGAGGGCCACAGTGAAGAATTTGGAGGTACAGATTGGTTAGATAGCAACTGTGATACAGTCCCAACATAAAGGAAAGTTTTCAAGTGATACAGAGGTCAACCCAAGGGAACACTACAATGCCATCATCTTAAGGAATGGTAAAGTAGTTGAAGAATGCAAGCTTGGAGAGGTTGTGGTGCCTAAATCGGATCTCATACTTGCAGGAGAAAAGCAGACTGTAGAGCAGAAAACTAAGGCAGAGACAAAAAAGAAGATGTATAAGCCTTACTCAATTTCATTTCCGGACAACCCACTTATCTTGAAGCCACCACTACCATTCCCGCAGAGGTATTTGAAGAAAGAATTTGATGAGAAATTCGCAAAGCTTCTAGAGGTCTTCAAGAAAATTCACATCAACATTCTCTTTGTAGAAGCCTTGGCCCAAATGCCTAACTATGCCAAGTTCTTAAAGGAAGTGATATCAAAGAAGAGAAAGTTGGGGGAGTTCGAGAGTGTTAAGCTGACAGAGGAATGTAGTACCATACTTCAGAAGAAACTCCCTCATAAATTGAAAGATCCAGGCAGTTTCAACATCCCGTGCAATATTGGTGGTATCACGTTTGATATGGCACTGTGTGACCTTGGAGCTAGCATAAACTTGATGCCCCTATCAGTGTTCAAAAAGCTGGGTTTTGGAGAAGTGAAACCCACAACCCTTACCTTGCAATTGAGGGACAGATCGATCACATATCCCAAGGGCATTATTGAAGATGTGTTGGTGAAGGTTGATAAGTTCATCTTTCCGGTGGACTTTGTGGTATTGGACATGGAGGAAGATGAAAAAGTATTGTTGATTCTTGGTCAACCTTTCCTGACTATTGGAAGAGCACTGATTGATGTACAAGAAGGGAAGCTGACACTACGGGTTAATTAAAAGCACGTAACTTTCAACATCCATCAAGAAAAGAAAGCCTCAGAAAAAGGAAAAGTTGACACTTGCAAAATGATCCAATCAGCTGAAGTAATTGTAGGGAACGGAAGAAAAGGAAAATTATTTTTTGATCCGTTAGTGCAATACATGACAATCAATTACTTAGTAAGAGATGCATCTATTGATGGTAATGACTCAGGAACCAAGATGGTGGTAGATTTCATCTTAACCCAAGAAGCTGATCCACCTGACAAAAAAGAGAGTTATGTGGATAGACCTTTGAAACCTCCAAATATTACCAAACCAAAAGTGGTCTTGAAGGCCATACCGGAGTCAAAACCGCATAATGTTGTTCGCCATTTTAGAATGAAGGAGAATACAAAGCCGAGTGTAAAGTTCGAAGACAAGAGAAATGTGTCACCTAAGGATCCACCGTAGGCATTGCTGTTGAGTCAAGCTAGTAACTATAAAGAACTGCTTCTTGGGAGGTAACCCAAGCGTTCTTACCTTTTCACTTATTTTATTTTATTTCTTTTAAATTATAGGATAGTTTATTTTATTTCAAAGTTTTTATTTAGGAATTCATCAGCCCTACCCCAACTCCCTTAGGTTTTTGAATAATCAAGTTGGTTATTGATATTCGAGCTAAGTAACACTTGTTCTATGAGTTTAATATCTACATTTTGAATTTTTAGAAACATGACGTCGCGGAACAATCAAACCAACATTAACGAGAAGCTGGATAAATCTCAAGTTTGGGGGGAAAACGAAAAAAATCGTCCATCAAATTCAACATCAGAGCACATAACTTCGTTAGCAATTCAGACAATTCAAGAAAATCCTCCTCCTTTTCTTTTAATTTCACACTGGGGACAATGTTCAGTTTAAGTTTGGGGGGAGTGAATGATAAGTTGTCTAATTACCTAATTTTTTATTTTGTGTGATTTGTGTGCGTTTTTTTAATTGTATGCATTGTTAAAAAAAAATCGTGTTCTCATGCTTGTGTGAGTTGGACAGCCTTGCCGACAATGATATTTATTATTGAGAACATGCATTGGTTTATGAATTGTGGACAAGTTATTTGTGTAAGTCAAATTTTTACTTATTCATGTAAAACGAAAATTATTTTGCACGTGAGTTGATTGTAGGATTGTGCGTGAATAGGTGGACTCATGTTTGTAGGTTGGACTAGAGAACTTAGATTGTTAAACCCAAACGACCATTAAACATCAGTAGACCTTTAAACCAAATCTAGGATGTTTGGAGGATTGCTCTGTTGTGGAGAAACTTGGAGATAAATGTGGATTTTGTGTGTGCTAATTTTTGCGTGGACTGTCCGAGACTAATATGATGAAAATTGGGTGAAAACCTTAATTTAGAGATCAATTTTCGAGAATGTGTGTTTAATAAGGGGCATTGCACTAAGCATTGTAATAATAATAATAATAATAATAATAATAATAATAATAATAATAATAATAATAATAATAATAATAATGATAAAGATCCCAATGAGGACAGCTTTAATAATCTCATTGTGAATCATCTCTTCGTAGCCTTTATGACTCGAGTGATTAAGCCTGTAAGGGTTTAGAACCTGATGCCTTAAAGTCATCTGATTTGAGAGTCGTCGGCCTAAAGCTCGCTACAGGTGTCATATAGAAAGCTTAAGGGAAAGACGTCCACACAAGGGGTGATAAAAAAAGAAAAAAAGAAAAGAAATAATGCCCTGCTTAAGTCCCGAACACTCATTTTAGAGGATTTGACCTTTTAACAAGAGGTTAGTAACTTGGTTAATTCTTATATGTTGAAGCAGTTAAAAGTAAGGAGAATCCTCATTTGTTGACGTGTGGAACTGCAATTAGTAAAATTTAACCAAATTTGAGTGGTGTAAGAGATTAGTATTGAAGATTAACCTTAGATTACACCATGGGAAAGAGAAAAGAAAATAAGTTTGGGGGTGTGTGAATCCCACGAGCGAAGTAAGGAAATAATTGACTTTTAAGGTAGGGAATTGGATCAATTTATTCTTGTACAATGTTGCACTTCTCTCTACACTCACACACCCATTGTACATTAAATATATAAGAATTTTAGCTTGTACATTATAACTTTGACGTAATTCATAGAGTCGATGTTATTGTATCAATCCTAAGCTATAAAGGCAAGATATCTAACGAAATTTGTTTTAAGTAATTTTGTGTATTTTAGTGTGTTTTGTGAATGTTAATGATTTATTTGATTTGGCTTTTGTTTGAGGACAAACTATTGTTCAAGTTGGGGGGTATTTGATAAGTGTATTTTATACACTTATTTCATTCATTAAACTAGAGCAATTTTTGTTATTTAGGATTGATAAGTGCATTTTATGCACTTATTCGGACTACATAATTAGGTTTTTATGTCGTCAAATTATCAATTTTTACCTAACTTGTGTTAATTTTTTTTTGTTTTTAGTTATGGACCTGTTTTGAAGCAATTGGAAAAGAAAATAATCAATTGGCTATTACATTGAGTTTGTGGACAAAATCTCGCGGAATAAAAGATGGAGGATCAAAATTGAGGAGAAAATGAAGAGAAAGACTAACTTGCATTACACGAAAGAATTGAGTACACAAAACTTATTGGACTTGGGCTTCTAGTTTGTATATAGAATAAGGGCTTTATTGTTGAGGTATATGTACACTTGCAGCCGAGAAAAGCTGGGGGTAGACAAAATTCATAAACACATAGACAGAAAATGGTGAGGAGGAGGGTGCCGTGGGAGAAAATTGAAATCCCTTCTGGGGATTAAATATACAGCAAGCGGAGGCTGGTGGGCGGAAAAAAAATAATATATAGACAGGGACTTTGGGGCAATTAAAAGGAACAGAAAGCAAGCTGGTTTTGGACTCTTTAATTGGCAGATTTAGTGGCAGAAAAAAAGAGAATTGCTGGGGCTGAATTGAGTATATTCCACGGCAGAAAGTCGGCTACAGCTTGGGGTCGAATTGGAATTAAAAAGACATTGGACGGTTGCACTTAAATATATATACACAGAGCCCGAGCCAAGCAGATTAGGACCCGGGAATTGAGTGCTGAATTACTAAAATAAATCAGCTGCTGGGAATTAATTGTTGGGTTGAAAAGTGATTTGAATTATATATTTGTATATCCACCAGAAGCCGAAGCAAGGAAGAGGATTGGAGTCCCTTTTCTTTAGTCAAATTGCGCAGTTGCAAGATGGAATTATATTGCTACATTCACAGAGAACCAAGGCACAACAAGGTTGGAAATTAGAATTATATACAGCAGCTGGAGAGACATTCACGAGACGGTGAAAGACGGCACACGCAATTGGAATAAATCACGTTCCATCAATTATTGGTGATGTCGTTCCACTTCTCTTTGTTTAATTTTAACATTATGCTCGGCTAGATTATTTTGTGCTAGGATTTGCGATGAACCCTACATTATGAACCCTTAGTCTTGAATGTTATTTATTTGACGTTAAATTATGTTTTTTTTTTAAATTATTGAATGATTGGCATGGATTTTATTTTCTATACAATTATATGTGCAATAGTTGCATGAGATTTGTGGCTTGTTTTACCCTCGAGAGATGAAAAATAAGTTAGACATTATGTCAATTGTCGTAAAGTCCGATAGGGTATAGAAATATACCGCTATACTTTACGTGTTCTTTAAGTATTCATAAATCTTTAATGCATTTTTATATGTTCGCATTCGTCATAGAAATATAGTCGGATCGCATGTGAAAATAGGTTTAATTCTACTCGAGAGAGATTGTTAAACAAATTAGGAATATTGATCTTCATAATTTAATCATGTTTTCAACTCTATAAAATTCGGATTAAAGGGGATTGGTATAAAGGGATTCGGGATCCTAGTACGCATTTCGTTATCATATTTTTATAAAGTTTGCATTTAATTATAATCACGCATTTAATTTAGTTAATTTAGAATTTATATTAATAAGTAGGTTATTAAGTTATAATTTAGTTAGCGAAAATATCAATAATTTTTATTGTTTCGGTTAAGGCGAAGATAATTTAAATTTAAACTAATACAATCTCTGTGGGACGATACTTGGACTCAAAAGGTCCACTTTTATTACGTGAACGTGACCCATGCACTTGCGGTGTAGGACTTTAGCGAACAAGGATGAATTGATGCTTAACTTCATACATATTTCGTTTGTTAGGTGTAACTTGAGGCAAAACAATGAAATTAGACAGAAGAGCGAAAAATTTACTAACTTGGGCCTAATCAAAAGTTTGGGGACTAAATCGCAAAGTATCAAAAGTTGATTTGGACATGATGTTAATAATTGAAGAAGAGCGAGAGTATTAGAAGATGAATGATCGAGAAGATGTCAAATATGGACCAAAAGGAATGAAGAATAAAGTATAGGGACCAAAGTGCAACACATGAAAAAGTTTCATAACGGCGCGCGAGCGGGACAAAACTCTCGTGCGCGCAAGGTGTTGAATTTCATAAGCAGAACATAGAATTAATAGGCGACGCGCTCGCAAGAAAATATACCACGCGCGAGCACAGACATTTTCCGGAAAAAAATCGGGCAAATTTTTTTTGACACAAATTCTTATGGAAATAAAATCTATAATAATACTTAACGTAGAAAGACGAAGAGAACGGCGCTTGTTTCTTCTAGAGGACAAAAAGAGGCTTGCAAGGAGAAAATCTCAAGAGGCAAAGATCAACAAAAGCAATTGCAAGAAGATTGACGACGATTGGGAGAAGAATTCTCGCAACAAAACTAGTTTTTCTTATTTCTTACTTCTTCTTCATGTTCTTTATTGTGTATTTTATCATACCAATCAATTCTATTATGAACTAGACTTTAGTCCTAGGGATTTGATGTAGCCTACTTAGACATGTTTTAATTCGTATATAATTATTTCAATTAATCTTTTGGATTATTTATTTATGTTGTTCTTGCGCAATACTTTCAATTAATTGGCCACTAATTGACTGATTTG